TCAATAAATCTGACAGCAAACGATGGGTTTCGTTCCTGCTCCTCCGGTTTTGATGCTTTTCGGAGTCGGTACAAGAATGTGTCTCTGTAATGTTAACACGAGAAAGGCTGGTTTGCTTTGCCGTGCCGACTGTGTTATGTTCTACGTCAATCTTCAAGTGCTGGCAGGTTTTTTAAGTTATTTTGATCGGGGTAAAAGACAGCTGCAACATACGATAATTTTTACAAGTCATGGGAACAGAAGAAAATACCCGTGTTGAGAATGGCGGCATGGAGGACCTTACGTCTGGTTACCGGGCGTATGGTGGTCGCTACCGCACCATCCAGTAAGTTTGGCCGCCTGAAAAAGTTGCTGTCATGCTTGCATTACTCCAACTCAAACAAACTCTAAAATTGAGCTGAACTTTCCATTGTGTGCTGAACATTCCATTGTGCTGAACTGAATATTCCATTTTCCTTTCCATTGTTTCTGATCAGATTGGTGGGAGATGATACCGAACAAGTTAGATGGATCATTCAGGATGTCACACAAGGACAAATTAACCACACAAACGTTCCGAGGCAACGTAAGGTTTAACAGGGGCATACCAGAGGACCTTCCAATTTCATGCACCTTTTCAGTTCGCCCGGCCCACGGCTTAAACTGAAGGATAACACCTTTCATGCACCTTTGATGAGATGCCAATTTGCAGTGCATACCTATTCTGGCCAAGTTGGGCGGAATCTGCTGTAGGTCCTTCCACCTGTCGGTATGGGTGCCCACGAAAGCGTTTGGCCCTGACTGCCTTTATCTTACAATTGCGTTATTTTGCGACATGAATTACCAGATTAATATCACGACTCCAAATTTTTCTAAAGCGGCCTGCTTGTTTTCAATCGTATTTTCACTCATAACGTTGATTTTGCTCAAGACCTATCACACTTTGAAGCAAACCAATAAGGAGGCTTTGGCAGTCCTACTTGAGGGCATCAAAGACAGACAGAACAGAAGAATGCGCTATTTGACAGATGCGTGCATCATTCTCAGCCTTGTTCCAGAATTCAGATGTTTTAAAGGGACGCAACGTAATCCTAATTAGTCTGAAGATATAATCGGTGTTTGAGAAGAAAAAAAACAGTGTAAAACCATATACATACAGCCTTGCTTTTCCTTTCATTTTGGGCTCGTCTCAACTAAAAGCATGCTCCAAACGGTATTGGTAATTCACTTTTCACATGCACACCACCAACGGCGCTTACCAGCCCAGTGATTTTGCTAACAATGAAAGGGGGTCGACTGCCAAAGTTGCGGGCAGCATCAAGCCTTCAGTCCGCCCTTTGTTAGCGAGCAATCGGGCCGTCGCTGCCGGCGCGACGGCGGCGTCTCCGCGATGGTGTGAGCGGCCCCTCTGCCGATTGGTCCCCACCACCTGGAGCCCATATGTGGGCCACGTGGGTTTATGGGAACACGCGGGCGGGGACGCGCAGTCCCTGCCGAGCAGTCAACGTTCGGGCTCCGACGGCGCGGCTCGACGCGAGCCGCGTCAGCGTTTACGCCGACGACGACAACGACTTCGGAGTGTGCGACGCCGCCCTTCCAACCCCTCTCTCACCTTTGCCTTGCAACTCTTTGGCTAATAGAGACTCTTCCCTTTCAACTTCTCAAGTTAATGGTCCTCCGGAATACTAACGAATTCTTTCGCATGAACACCCCTTATGACCGGGATTTTCCGCGCTATTCGCGAGCGTGGGCGTCTGCGTGAATGGGCTAGGGAGCATGAGAACCATGACTTGCTTTTTCATGCTGGGCCACGGTGCACGGTCTTGTCTTCGTCATAGTAAAAGGTGTTAGTGGGATGTCAAAAGACACAACCAAAACTTAATCACCGAATCACAGACCTCGTTTGGCTGCAAGATGAGTACTGTGTAGTTGCGTTGTTATTGTTGTTAACTGAATATACCCTGTTTCATTTCAGAGGAGCTATATAGGATAGCTGAAGAATGTATTCGAAAAGTCTGTCTGGGCTCAAGGGTGACCGCGATAAGATGCGTTCGGCTTAGCCGGTAAAAATGGATGTCTTTTGTAATGCATATTGTGCCGTGCGCACGATGGACAGACTGAAGGATCTCTTACGTATCAGACGTGATCATTTCCTTGACAGCGACAGTGGCGCCGCGTGGTGGTCAAAGTACGACAATGACGATTTGTGCAAATTGTAGCGAATTTTGCACAATTGAGATCAGTTTGCACATATGAGGCATTTGGGAAAAAGTTAGCTCACTGCTTCCCACATATTTTTCATGGAACAAACCCGTCTAATCGTGAATTTGGGTTCATCATTTAGTACGTAAGCAAAAGGAGATGCACCGTGCGTCTGTTGCAAAACACAAATGCATCTCGGTAAATAGGACTCTGTACGGTAAAAGCAACGCGTTAATCCCGGACGGAAAATATTACGTGACACCTAGTCGAGCATACAACGTTGGTGTCCACCCAGTTTTGGAATCGCGCAATTCACAGGGAACATCGCGTACCTACGTTTGCATTTTAACGCAGTGGTAGTGGAATGTTGCGTGGGAAACCTTGCTGTAGTTTTGCTGCGAGTTTTGTGGTAAACTTTTACCAATGCAGAAATGACGCCGGTGAAGTTGTAGGAATTTCACTTGAAGCGAAGTGCATTGAATCACTTTTCATAGCACGGTTGGTGCGTCACTTTTGCTAAGTACCCGTCACACCTAAATTCGTGTCACTTACCGCTGGAATCTGCAGACATTTAACTCCATAATGAGGCAATAAAGTGTTGCTTGGAAGGTTCATCCTTCTTCGCATAAGGCATTCCAAGTTGCACAGCGCGAAGTCCCCTAATTCGCCAGCTCCTTTCAAAACAGGAGCGAGTTGTCGCATATGTGTCAAAGGCATGTGAGAATAGTTTCCGTTCTTGACAAATATCAAGAACTCGCATGACCGCTCTGACATGGGGAATAGCACTTAACGCAAGGCTTACCGGATGAGTGAGCTGGTAAATGTGAGTTTGAACTCTGAGCCACACCATTCAAGGGGTGAAAAGTGTTCGTCCCTGACTTTGTGCCCAATTCAGCTCACTGGCCATGTGCAATGCAAAGAGCATGCATAAGGCGACAACATGGAAACTTGGAGGGCAAATATGCTGAAGCTCATTTTGCATTCTATTAAACGTGACTTTCTAAGTTCTCTCAATCATTATTTTCCACAGACAGACCCTTCACGCACGCTTTGAAATGCTCACACTAGTCGCCAGTAGAGGACTACACGGGTACCCATATAAAATGGGAAATGGGTTGGATTTGGTACAAATATCGGAAAATGTGGCACGGGTACGGGCTTGGGTAAGCCGTTAACGAAATGGCGCTTAGATACGTCAATACATACAACACGTATCCATGACTTACGCTTCTTTTAATCATAGTTAGCTCCCTTCCCACCGCTTTTGTCATTTTAAACTCAAAACGGTACGTTTGCTTCACACTTTCTGGAATTCTCGCATAATCTAGAAGCGAAGTCCTCAACAATGCAAACTTGTGAGCAAGGGGAGGGTAAAGCTGATTACGAATGGGTACCGGGCGAGTATGATCACTGCTCCATGGGTAACGGCGGGCCAGGAAGCGCACTGATTGCTCGCTGACCGGTCACCGGGTCGAGCGACCAACTAAAAATCACAGGATATTTTTTGTCGCCTGGTTGGAAAGTTTCCTAGAAAAGATATGGTGCCGTAGGGTGCGGAAAAGGTTCTTTGCGAAAATGCCTGCCGTTGTGTGCCGAAATGTGTTATGATGGAGACCTCAGGTTAGACTGTGCAGCGTGCGCTGCAATATTTATCGCAGCCGCCACCAAAACTTGCATACAAAAGCTTTTTGGCTCCAGGCACCACGCAAAATTATGTATTTTTGTCGCCGACTTTATCCACGAAGTCGGGACGTTTTAACACTAGGTAGTCAGTGCACTGGGCAAAGGAAAGCTTATCCATGAACGTCTAGTCTCCAGCCTTCACCTTACTGGCCTTTCCAGTTATCAACACACGTATTGAGAAAGAAGGTCGTCGGTCATCGTTAAAAAATAAGCAACCACGGAACCAACGTTGAATATAGTACCTTATATTTTCGCGAGAAAGGTAGGGCCAGCAACCACTAGGTGAATCTATCGCTAGGTACCACCACTGCCTAAGAGGAAAATTAGCCGACACGCATATTCGGCGTTGCCCCTCCCCTAGCGTTGAGGGGCTGGATGGCAATGCCAACGCCATTTTTCTCTCTTTGTGGCCGTCTCAACTGACTCCCACCCTATGTTTGCATTTATCGCCTTTGTACTATCCGACGTGAAGCAAACTTAGTGCACACATCACCTGTATTTATAAGATCCATAGCCGAAATCGGATGATCCTTGTTGATCAGCCAATATCAATAGATGCTTTCCCACTGGGCAATTCTATTCCACTGGTCCCACTGAGCTATTCTATCAGGCGTACTCATTTTCAAAAAAGGTTGCCTTCTCAGTCACGATGCCATCCGCTGTCGAGGAACACGTCAAGGAACTCTCTCTCTCTCTCTCTCTCTCTCTCTCTCTCTCTCTCTCTCTCTCTCTCTCTCTCTCTCAGCACATTTCGGGACACATTGCTTTGAAATCGGGGAGAGCCCCCTATACCCCTCCTCTCTATCGGCCCAGCTGGACCACGCTCCAATCGCCGCTCGGTACCAGCTCCCCAAGCGCCCACCTCACTCACCACCAGGCCCGCGCTGGTTACCTGATTACCATATTCCAGACCGTACGCGCACCACGCGCGCATTATCATCAGAGTCCACCGGTCGCGCATGTGGCCGCGCCGATCCTCTACCGATACGGGAAGACCCCGACCGACGCTGCCGCCGGCCGGTATCCAGAATCGACCACTGGCGGCGGGGCGCGGTGGAGCGGTGGTCCGCGACCTTGGCTGTGCCATCGGCGCGCGGTCGGCCGGGTCGAGCGAAGGGTCCGTGTGGGGCGTGCGGGGGCCGGTCGTGCGCGTGCGCCCAGGCGCGGAGCGGGGCCGCGCGCGGGCGGTAATCGCGCGCTGTCTCGACAGCCATGTCGTCGGAGGGGACGGAGCGGGCCGCGATGGCGGTGGTGAACGACGGGGCGCCGCCGAAGCAGAGCCTCCTGAACTACGTGGACATCGTCGTGGTGGTGGTGTACTTCGGACTAGTGATGGCCACCGGAATATACGTGGGTGTTAGAGACATCGGCAGCGACGCGGCCCTGGAGTTCAGGACTCCGCAGCTGTCGGGTGGTTGGGGCGGGGCTGTATCTATGAAGCGCATCGTGTTACATGGGCAGAAACAAATGTAAGCAATCGGGGACTAACGTTGTCAAAACTGATCTGTGCATTCGGTTCTCTTCAGAACAGTAAGGGTTTTTGTGTAACGCGCCACCTAGCGCGGCAACGCTAAATAGTTGCCGCGCAAGGTGACGCCCGCTAATAGTATTTATTCGGCGCATTCGCTAGACTTTGACTCAGTCGTCCTAGTATAAACGTTCCCGATCTCAACCAAAACGCGTCCTTTTTCCATAATGCTCCCGCAGTTTCGCTTCTCTGGCCAGTGGGAAGTCCCTCCCCAAGCCGCTAGCTGCGCTCCCGGGTGTTTTCTCACCAGCGGGAGCCTGCGAGAAACCCGAAAGAGCCCTTACGTGCTATGCACGTGATCCTTGACGCCGTGCAAACGATGTCGTCTATTACGTCGTAATGCCGTCTCTCCTTCGGCAGTCAATGTGTCGTCCAAATCGCGGCACGGTCAGCGGGTTCTTCCTGGCTGGACGCAACATGAGCTGGCTGCCGGTAGGTGCCAGTTTGGGAGACGCTGCCCCCGTCCCCGCCCTCATGTATATTTAAGAGCTGCTTCGATCTGTACGGTACACCTGGCGGCACAGGTCGCCAGCTCACCGCACGTGGTTCACGCTGTATAACAGGCTAAAATTGTACCGTTTAACGTGTCGTGAGAACCCACATGTAAATGCTCTCCTCTGGCGGTTGCCGAATGAGTTCCGTCATCTTTGTATTCTGTCGCACCGATGCCTTGACTGCGCGCTGCCGTCTATAAGTGTCGCTCGCTGGTTATGTTGCTGTAGGTGACAGCCGGCGGGCGCCGGATCTGCTAATCATCAGCCACCACGGCGTGTTTTGGGTCGGCCGATGTTGGCCGGTGGGCGGAGCTCGGTGACTGAAGGTTGTTTTTGCTGGCGGGCGCCGGTAGGTGGGCGCATCACTCTTCGCCAGCAACATCGGTTCGGAGCATTTCATCGGACTGGCCGGCTCCGGCGCGGCCGCCGGGATCGGGGTCGGCGCGTTCGAGTTTAACGTGAGCGCAGCTGTGCGAGCGGTAGGGTGGGCAGCGAGACTGGATGCGGCCCGGTAAACTTTCATTGGGATATTACGCTTTCCTAGGATTACATGGAAAGAAAAGGAGCTTAAAAGCTTCCATCCGTACCCTGCTTTGTGAGAGAAATACAGTGCAGATTGCCACCGTTTTTGCTTATCGCTCAATGCCAGTATGGATGCATTTCCCTTCCCATCATGACGGACGATTATGTGTGAATAATCGCTGTCTTTAATTCATACGCTGGTGGCCTTTAAGATCAAATGTCGTGTTTGAATTTGCGACAAGATGCCACGAGCAGGGGCTGTGCGGTGGGAGAAGGTATAATATATTGCGCCGATCAAGTGCTGCAGTAGACCCTGGTGCGCGGAAGGTGAAGCGTCTGCTTTGATATGGAGCAAGCCCGGTATGCAGCTTGTGCGATACCATCGTAATGAAGCTGATGGTTGCGTGAACCAGCAGTCCAAAGGAACGTTCGTGTGCTCCCATATATAAATCACAATAGATCACGATCTTTCTGCTGAAGTTCGAGACGACCGCTGTTCATTATTTAATGCAGAGACTGTCAACTGTCTGGACGCCAAGCATTGCATGGCATTAGACTGTCAGGGGAATGGAATTCACCGCCTCTGTAAAGAAAACCTGCTTACATGCTGGTTGTTTTCCAGGCGATTATACTAATTCAGCTGCTGGGGTGGATTTTCCTGCCCGTGTTCCTGGCGAGTAGGGTAAGTACCACCAGCGTCATTTGCCGCTGCCGTCCATGCGCCGGTAAGTGCAATCTCCACTCATCAGCCGATCGACTGTGGGTCGAGACCAGCAGTTTCTACTGACGACCGTCATCGGGTGGTGACCTGGCTGAACCTACCGACCTCCGCTGGACAGAGGGATGAGGGAGTGGGGAGGCGACTGCCGGATGGCGCGCGGAAGCCGGCTCTCCAATTCAGACACGAGGAAGCTGTCTTCGAAGACGCGCGCTGGCAACAGGAGGAAGACAACGCATTCGCCGGAGAAGATCTGCGATAACCTGCGACGAGAAACGTGTAGCAATTTTTGTTCACAGGCACTGGTTTTAACGCTTAAAGAGAGCATTGCACACCGACGTGGGATTTTGAACTGAAATAGCCGTCTTGGAGACCGTTCCATGTAGTTCACAGCCCTGCCCTCCTCAAGACCTAAACCCCTTTAGTTTCTGAGCTACACACCCGCAAAGATGGGGAGACTTTTTCGTGGATAGTATTTCAAAGTCACCTTGTCATTCATGACGCCATAATAAGCCATTCAAATCCTGTCATTCCATAAGCCATGCGACAGTCAAGGTTAACGGCCGTTAATTGGCTCTCAATGTTGGCAAGGTATGATCGCCACATCAAACAATTACGTATCGAGGAGCATATTTACGGCGGAGAAAAATTGTGTTTTCCAGAGCAGTCTTTTCTTCTTAAAAGTGTACCAATAGTCATAAGTGAGCTCGTTTTATGGTATGTGATGCTGGCTTCAATATCTTCAAGTGTGAAACATATCCTTTAAGACACCAATTTTCACCCGGCGAGTCTACCCGACCGTCCGCCATCTACAGCAAAGCAAGAGGGAAAAACCACGCGTAGGCGGCCTAACATGAGCTTTTGTGGTTGTTTATGAATAAGCACATCGCCGTGGGGAACTGCCACCCCAGATGTAATTGTTATCAGGGTTATAACTTTAGTTTCGAGTCCAGAATATGACAAAAAATGAGAATATATGATAATACATCACAGAATGAAAAATGAGAATGCATGACATATAACTGACCCCCGTCGATTTTGAAGAGGTCACTAACCAAGCAAGCGGTTTGTGTGCTTATACACCGTACAGTACTATTCTATACTAAATTGTGCCCGAAGATGTTGTTTGTTTCTATGAACAGCTAAAGACCGGCATCAGACGTAATTTAGTCATGCAAAATTCAAGAAACAACCTCGCATAGGTCATTGACAAATCTGGGGTCGATTCTTGTACGTTTAAAGGAGTGGTTCGCCTTTGAAGATGTTGAAACAAGCATTAGATACGACGAAACAAGCTTGCTTATAATTCGAATATCATCAGTACATCAATATATCGTCGGGTAGGCCAGTTATACGGCGTTATCTATAATGGTTTTTTGGTGATCTCAGAAATGACGCTTGGGGGAGCGGGCATTCGGAAACGCTCGTCTTGACCCTTGCTTCTTCGTCGGACGAACGTTCACTCAAGCCTTAGATATATCATACTGCTTTTTTTCAGGAACAGTCAGCAGATACGTTCAGCTGTTGTCTGCTCGTTGGTGAAACCTCCGGTAAAAAACGGAATATCATAGCTCAAAATTATTCATGATGCATCAAGGTGGCGAATGGACACTTTGGTCGTGGTGACTGGTCCTGTTGCGGTGCGGCGATCACACCACTGCATCGCCGGTGAGGTAATTCCGAGGCTCTAGCGCGGCTCCGAAGCGGCCGGGCCCGTCCTGGGGAAAATACCGCGGCTCTGCGCCTCGGGGCTGGACATCCTGCGTCCTCGCGACACTCCGAATGTCCGGGGCCGAGTATATGCGCCAGCCACCAGTATGCCGAAGGTCCCCCGACAGGGGTCCTGGTGCGAGCGCCCGACACGAGCCCCGCAGAGGGCTCCCTGCGCGGGCTTAGTCTCGGCGGTTGAGTCCCAAGACGGACGTAGCCATGCCCCACCGCTCTCAATTCTCCTTCATCTCGCATGGGGTTACCCCGAATAGCCCCAAAATGACCTTTACTGGTCGAAAGGGCCCTAATCCAAATAACCAAGCCACGGCTATTTGGATTGGTATTCGCAAGAGAGAATACTGATCCCGAGAGAAGTTGTAAGCGGAGAGCGAGGCGGTGCACTCGCATACTCGAGCTCTGGCGACTTTCTTTTAAAGCGTTCTAGGGTGACCGTCTTTGGAGGCGGCCGACGTGGAAAAGCTTCCGGCCTGTTGAGAATGCAAATCCATGCTTTCCAGCCTAGCGTTTTGAGAACAGGCTTCTTAAGGCTTCCAAGCTTTGAAAAGTGCCGTCGTTCTGACTGCGTGTTTTACGTTATGCTACGTCAGCTGCCATGGCAGTCTGCGTTATACTGCCATTGTCAGTTTTCTAGTGCTAAATATATTTTTAGAAATTTAAAATAACTTTATGTGACCCACATGGGAAGAAAAGCGAACCAAGTTGAAAGTCATCTGCTGCGTCATGTGCAAACACATCACGAGTGCGCGGACTGTAGCCCATGGAACTATCTACATCACAAAACCTACCTGTTCTGTGGGTGTCTGGAGGTCGTCGCGTCCCATACCAGTCATGCAGCCCTTGAGCGGGCCCGTCAGCCGACGAAGCGGGGTTTGACACTCGACTCCGACCAGCCCGGCCGGCCTCGCCTGGCCGGAAGGTCACATAGTCTGGAGCGAAGCGACTCCGTTCGGGCGCCCACTTTTTGGCATCCACTACGCCGTCCACATTGGCTGTGAACAGGAACCACGAAACGGATGCAAATGGCCGACTCCGTGAACAACTGACCCCTTTGTCAAATACTAGAACATAGTCTGCAGAGAAAAGATGTTTTGATGTCAATGTTCACGAATCGAGGGCATTTGGAGACGTGTAGAACATGAGTTTTTACACTATAATCATGTTTGGTGTGCTATAGCACTGTACCTGCGCGTACTGCTAGGGTTGTTTTTTTGTAAAAATTCCAGGCAGCCGGGTCCCCAATAATTATAGAAATTATTAATGCAGAAAGCGTATTTCCTGTTGAGGTGTAGATAATCTGATGACAATGTGCTGTGTGTATGGTTGCATTGAGATGTTTTCGTCTATATGACCTTTAAATTGAACGACTGGGACAATGCGGCACACCTGAAGGACAAACAGTGGCAAATATGCGTTAAACTGGATGGCTGATTTCAGGTTGGCACATTACCGGAGTTCATGAAGAAACGGTTCGGAGGTTCCAGGATCCGGGTGTACCTGGCCATCTTGTCCCTGATACTATACATCTTCACCAAGATATCGGTTAGTTTCTGTTACATTTCGGGTCTTTTCAGCCGTGCTTGCTGCATGCTAGTTAGGCAGTTCGGTTCGTTTCCTCTCGTTTCGTTATCAATTGCAAAGTTTTCTGTCATCGGCCCATCAGGGATTTTTGTGAATTTTTGCCGGATCAGAATCAACATACGGAGAAGTCGCTCACTTCTTGTGCCGCATTGGCACAGCGCTGTTTAAGGGCATTTCATGTCAAATTGATCTGGTTTGCCCGTGAACTCATCCGATCGCGATAAAACCCGCTGGAGGATCAGCACCTGCGAAAGATGATCAAACGCTACTTCATACCCGCTCCCGCTCCTCCCCTCTCCTCCTCGAAGCATTCGTATGTCTAGCCTCTGGTTCAAGGCCAGAAGCTTTTTAATGCTCGCATTTTTCACTCGCGCAAAAATTGGAATATCCATAATGACGTTTTTTATTAAGGACGTTGCCCAGATAATTTTGCGACCAGTTGAACTTGCGTGCTCCCTTGAATGTTCCGTAACTTTGTCGCATTATATTGGTCCTACCTTGGAGATTATGAGGATGTCCCACATTTCGATCAGCGGTGTATGTCGGTCAGGTCCGTAACTTTGCATAAATAACAAGCATATCTTTGCTAGGGAATGGTAGTTTTTGGAGACGTAATACTTTGGATATGACCCCCATTCAACTCATGGTCTCCTCCGCATAAAAAAACACTGCCCCTCCGGCTTCCTGCCTCACAAGCCAAATGCAAAGTGAAAGATTATGTACCCAGGTGATGCCGCGTTACTTTCTGCACTGTTCACATTTTTAAAATAATGTGTTTGGGGTATTTTCGAACGGCTTAGGGTTCATCTGTATGTGATTCACACAATTTTTTTTTTTTTACTCACGGGACAGCGCTATTTGAGACATCTCAGATCAGTACCATTTCCGGGGTGTTAGCCAAGGTCGTCCGAAGTGGCATTGACCCGGACTGAGAAGTGCATTATAAGCATCTCTCAAGATGCGTAAATTTGAGTATGCAAACGCCAAATATTTTGTGGCCTTTAACGTACCGCGCCAGGTCGTTAACGTCTCGTCAAACATTGCACGACGTTCTTGAGCGTGTTCCCAACGCGTTACGAATCATGTGTTTGTAGGGTAAGAGGAGCGTTTCAGTCATGAAACATGCGCCCACAGGTATTATCAGAACGATCAGTTCCACGGCTTTCGATAACTGAAGTTGTGCTGGTCAGGGTGGTATTAATCGCTTGCATGCAACATGCAATGTCTAGCTTTAACGATATCTTTTTTCTATCCTTTTTGCAGTTTGTTGAACAGCGGAGGTGACCGATGGTTGGTTGGATATTTGGGCTTTAGGGCACCTGGTCTACACGGTTACTCTATTGTCCATAACAAAGTGGTAATCAAAGCTGTCCAGCGGCTGAAAGCTTTTTACGCATGGTATGAACTCCTTAGGTAGGCGTATACAGCGCAGAACTTGAGATGCGATATGAAGTTGTAGGTATGTTCGATATATGGTGAGATGTCACATAGCAAATTGCAGAGCACTAGAGACGGCACAACCGGGCCAAGTATCTTAGACATTCGGCGCGTAGTGCGGCACAGTATACGGGCACGTGTCCCACCGTAAGCGCAACGTTACAGTGCCGACACTGAGGTAGTTCGTCGCGACACGATAGGTATCGCTTTGTGACATAAACATGGCCAATCCGCAAGCGACACAAGATGATTTCCTCCTTCCGTCAAGACTTTCAGTAGGATGACTGCCACTCCTGGACAACAGGCTCAATGCTTTTCAGTTCACTAGCGCCATTGGATCCTATGTGCTGTGTCATTTTCCGCGCAAAAAAGCAGAGATGGCCGAGGTTCAAGGTTTGTAACGGGTATTGGGGACGCCGTTCGACAGGGACGAAGCGTAGCCCTCTTTGCGGTAGCGTGGACCAGCTCATTTCCAGCGATGCCAGCGTGACGTGAAATCCAGTAAGTACAGTGGTCTTACCGGCCCGGCGCATGGAGTTGAGACGCAGTGAAATGCCCTGTAGCGGGGGATTTGCCGGAGCAAAATCGGGCCCCACCGAAGTACGTTGGTGGCACCACCACTTTGCAGAGCACTTTTCCAACAAGCTCATAGGGCTCACGTGTTAAAGACCTGCTTTCCGCAGAGCTGTGAATCAAATTTTATGTGGTCAGTCTCGATGGACCTGGCATCAGACGAAAGATTGTTCGATTGTCCAGAGCCGATCCATTAGGAGTTTTAGTTTAGCTAGAGGAGCCAAATCATACGACGGAGCAGGTCAAGGGTTTTTGTGCATGGTACGCCTTGAATCTTTCGACTTGCTCTACCCGCCCAATAGTCTCGCAGCTCAATCGATGGCACGCTGGGTCTTTAACCGAGAGGTTGTGTGTTCGAAGCTGCGGAGCATCAGGGCTTTTCTACCATTGCTGTATGGAATATGGTGAATTGTTTGCCATGAACCAGTTCATGCCGTCAGTGTAATGTAGTATACAACTCCGTTTGAGTGTTTCGTGCAAACACTCTGGGCATAGCGTTCATTTGAATTTTGAATACATCCACTACTGTATGATCTGTGCCAAGCTACCTTCAATTAATGGCTGTCAAACATTCAGTACAAACCAGAAATTTGACCTACATTGCGCATCCAGTACATTTCTAGTTTTTTACTGGAGTTGTTTTTTGCACTGAACGTCGCTCTACCCGCAACCTATTACCCTGGATTCAAACGTTTTAATGTCAAAGGGCTGCTCAGTTAGTCCAAAAAAAATCACGAACAGACTTCTCCGACTACTTCCATCAAGCAAAACGCTTTAGTGGTGGCCACAAGCTCTGCCGTATACAGGGACACATGGGCCGGAAGTGTGAATGATCGCGTGGCGTGACTACACACAAAGGCGAAACCAACGCCCGTGTCCGTTCTAGAGCCGTCTGTATATTAGTTTTGAATCCCCAGTGCGTTTGAGCATGTGACAGGGCTGGGCTATCTGGCAACACACGGAATCGTATTTTGCTTTCGAACCTCCGACAATGATACGTCGACGGTTGACGCTGCTATCGCCCACGGAGCGGTCAGCAGGCTACGTGGGCGCGCCACGCCCCGAAAACTGGGGCCGCTGCCATGAAGGACGTCACAAACACGAACACGTAGCAGCGCGACGCGTAATGTTTGCTCGTCTTTAAACAGCATTTGATGTGTGGCGCGACAACACGACACCATGTGTTGGACGGTTCGGGAATAGAGCCAGACTGCGAGCGTACCACATCCACAACAATTTCCTTCGAGCCGCCTGCGAGGGTTCGTTGGCTTCGGCAAGCAAGCTGGCTGTCGAAGACGTACGACATGCACCAGCGATGATGCCAACGCAGTATGATGGACCGCATTTAATATACGCTCTACGGACTCAGAGGCTTTGTCGTATACAAAACAGGCATAGTCTGGCTTGGAGCGTATCAGATAACGGTGCAAGGACATGAGCGTCCCACTGCCGACCCGTAAGACGGTTGTGAGATGCATTTTAAACGTTCATGGATTTAAAACATCTCTCCTTGAAAGTTTTAACTTAAAGTTTAAACATGACAAAGAAACGAAAAGTTTTAACGAAAAGTTTTAATATCACAACATTTTGATATCGCACCTGAAGGTAAATTTCTATGAGACTGAATCCTGAGAAACGCACACTGGGATCGTATGGTATCACCTATCTTTGCAGACGAATGTACATGCTGGGACAGTTCGGACGTGAACAAAATGTACAGCCACTATCTCTGCAGTTGAGAGCTGGAGTCCGTTGAGCGCAGTCTAGCCCTGCAACGCCGCTAGACAGCACCGTGATCAGGATGGATCTGAGCGATCTCCGCCCCTTGTATCACAAAAAACGGCGCGAATCGGACCTAACTGAACATGACTGCCTGGTTGACGTAACATGAACAGATGTGATAGATCTGAAAATAACCGGCTTAGATGCTCTACGGCACAGACTGGACCATCTGTAGGAGCCTCATTAAAGAACTTTTAGCGATACGCAGCATTTTGTATATTTGAAGCTATTGGCCAGGAAAAGACGCGGATATTAGATGTCCTCTGGTTTCCGCCTCGGTGTCCGAAATATCTCGCCGGGGACTAGAAATTGACGCATTATCATGGTTTATGGGGTGTCTCATCTCTGCCAAAATGTTCGTCATATTGGAAAGGGGTGTAGGTGAAATGTGTCCGATTTGTATCGAGTTCATGTGGGATGACATGTATTTCAGACAATCCATGTGGCCAAAGATATGAATGAGTTGCGGAAAGTTAAAATGTGCTCAATGGGAATGTATTAAGGTGCGAAGTTGACCGAATGTCGGTCCAAGTTTATTTGGTGTAGCTTATATATGTTAATAATTCGTTATGCAATTAGAAGACTGTCAATCGCTTAAATGAAGGTGTTGCAGCTCATAGATAAGTCCCCGTGTAATTGTGTCAAGATTTCAGCAGGCTGAGGACTTTTTTGTAGAACGGCATGAGACTACGCGGGGGAAAGCGACGCGCTTTCGAGCTGAAGCATTCCAAGCAACTGTTCAAGATGGAAGCTCACGCTGCGATTGACCAGGGCCAGCGGCCGGCGTGCTTGCGCAAGCGCTGTTTTACGTGGGCTGGGTTGTATCAGCGCGTGCTACACACTTCGCTAAATGTCTCACGGAGGGGATGGCAAAAATGGGCTGTCACGCAGACCAAACGAGGCATATGTTTACGGCAAGCTTGGGGCCAGGCATGTTTGGACGTGACTCAACGAGTGTGCACAGCACATCTGACGCGGCACAATCCGCTTGCAGGCATTCGATGTTATCTGAGGGCAACGCATGTCGCCCGTATTTGCGTCGCGATTTAGTTTCAAGTAACATCGGATCAACGCACAGCTGCGTATTGCGTGACACTATCACGCATTCTCGGGGCTAATTGTTTTGGCGCGCTGGCGTATTTCTCATTAATTTATTTGCCGTAACGGTGCAGTTTATTGTGTTTTGTTATTTCTGCATGCGAAGACTAAACGTCTGTCGCATTGTTCTCCAAATTGAGCTGAGCTCCCTTCGGAATTTAAAGCTTGCAAGGCTCATGCATTACTGCAAAGGTAAAGCAAGTGTGCTTGAACACTCAACTGGTTATTGGTTGTGCCTAACGCGGCCGTTAAATAGGTTTTACCTTCTTAACATATGCTGTACAGATGTCATACCAGGCCACACTCAGGAAAGCACTAAATTATGATGACATGGCATAATTAAAAGTAACGTGGAGCAAGTGGGACCAGGAATAAGTCGATCAATTTTTTGGCATGCTCTGCGCTTTGCTACGAGCAAAAAGCCTTGGCTACGAGTATAAGTGCTATTCCTGCCATAATGTCTTCTGTCCGATAAACAAACGCGCATGCGTCATCCTGCGCTGCTTTCCATCCATGCACGTGCGCCTGCGCTAGAGCCCGCCTTCAGCAGAGATAAACGCACACCAACATAGTCCACAGGTCGAGCCACGCGCCGAAGCCTCTGTCCGCAGGTGAGGCTTGGCGCGACCCTGGCGCGACCCGTCTCCCTCGGGCGCACATCACTCAGCACGTCTCTGTTCAGGCGCACGCGCACCCTGTCCCCAGGTGAACCTGTACTCGGGCGCAGTGTTCATCCAGCAGGCACTGCGCTGGTCGATCTGGTGGTCAGTGCTGCTGATCCTGCTGGTGACCGTGCTGACCACCGTGCTGGGCGGCCTGGCCGCCGTCATATACACCGACACGCTGCAGTTCTTCATCATGATCATCGGAGCGCTTGTCGTCATGGGCAAAGGTGAACGGCACGGCAGCGAGCGTGTGACGTGTGAAGTGTGACGGGGCTGGCCTGATGGGGCTCACCTCAATGTCCTAACAGCCAGCTGAGTTTGATGACGAATTTCAGGAATTTCAGGGCATTTGTTGCGTTGTGACCATGGAATTTAGCCATGCTTCTTCGGAAAGCTGTTCCACGATGGGCTCATCTTTTTGTTTGATGTGATTTTATTCAACGTTTTGATTTTATTAAACCCGTGGAAATGGAAAGGCATATACCCGTTCATGCAATTTTTACTACCGGGCATTGTGATTAGCTGAGGCTAGCCCAATGGACCCGAGCGTTGCACCAGATAACGACGCAACTTATTTTATGCTAGTATGGATAGTCCGCGGATTGTTTTATTTCAGAGGCAGTAGCTCACAGCTAAGTCATGCATTTATGGATAACGTGCGCAACATGAGTCATAACTATGAAAAGGAAGCATCCGCCATTAGAAGAAAACCACAAGCCTAAACCGAGAAAGCGGCTGGTCCACATGCTCCTACCGTTCAATACGCAGCGCGTGCTTCTGTTGGCAGGGAGCGCGGCAGCATCCCCAGGCAGCACCGGATCTGCCGTCGAGGTCGGATCGCACCAGGCCTGCGCGCCTCCTAACCGCCGAGTGCGTCCCTTTTGCAGCATTCTCCATGGTGGGCGGCTACTGGGAGCTGCAGGAGCGCTACATCCAGGCCATCCCCAGCGTCACCGTGCCGAACACCACGTGCGGCCTGCCGGCCACGGTGCGTCTCAGAGCAACGGCCCTCATCCGCCCGGCACGGCGCCCCGGCGACAGCCGCATCTGGTCCGTATGATGCCGGGCTGGCGGCGTTCATGGCGAACATGGTGGTCTGCAAAACAGCAGCATTCATCGTGTTGAGCAGAAGCATCTATGTGGCGCGCAGCACTCCGCCGCAATGTGGCGTGTGCCGCGCTGCTATGCGCAGCAGGCTCTTAGGCGGGTACCCTGTGCTTTCCTCGCGTAAGTGGACGTCCCGTGGACGACGCACAAGTGCTATCTCCCCGTGTCTGACGGGATTCCTCCGTAACTGCAGGACTCTTGGGTGATGCTGCGGGACCCTATCAATTCGGATATGCCGTGGCCCGGCTTCATCCTGGGTCAGACGCCCGCCTCCATCTGGTACTGGTGCGCCGATCAGGTGAGAACTGCCTCGCCGCTCGCTCCCGCCCCACACTCGCCACTCGCTCCTGCCACTTGCCGCTCGCTCCCGTCCCTTACTTGCCGCTCGCTCCCGTCTCTTACTTGCCGCTCGCTCCCGTCCCTTACTTGCCGCTCGCTCCCGCCCCACACTCGCCGCTCGCTCCTGCCACTTGCCGCTCGCTCCCGCCCCTTTCTTGCCGCTCGCTCCCGCCCCACACTCGCCGTTCGCTCCTGCCCCACACTCCGCTCGCTCCCGCCCCACACTCGCTGCTCGCTCCCGCCCCACACTCGCTGCTCGCTCCCGTTCCACTCACTGTTCACTCCTTCCCCACACTCCGCCTGCTCCCGCCCTGGCGAACTGTTGTAGACAGCGCTCAGTGTTTTTTTTTTAGGTGTTGGCGTTAGAAATGGGAAGACTTCGCTGTTTCCTTTGCGCCCGTGATCGCTGCTCCTGATAGGACTGAATGCGAATATGCATTCTTGTGTCAAATACATAAAGTGGCATAGCCGTACATTTGATAAAGCTAGTGGCAACATGCTTCTGTTTTGGATCGTTTGTAGTCTCATGTTTTAATCAAATCTGGAAGTCAATTAAGCATGCCGCCTCCAGCTATGAGGTATTATTATGGTGTTTACGCAAATAGCTTTCGACGGAATGGAGACACGTGCATGCTGAGTGGTGTTTTTCCTCTTGACATGGAATGAAACAGTGCTGTTGTCCGTATCACGCACACACATGAGCGACCGGAACATTTCTGATAACGCCACCGTGATTCATCAGGCGGGTAGCTCATGAAAGGGAGATGCACTCGATGGTTTGTGTGGGCGAAGCTTCATTCGAGCCATGTTTCCAATATATTCCTTCCCGTCCCGCGCCCTTTTCCCAACTCACGCCGCAAGCTCCCTTCCGCCCGGACGTGGGAGCCCCCAGCGCTGGTTGGTTTGCTGCGCGCTGACAGACGAGCGTGGCTGCAGGGCTCGCGCACGCACCGTTGCCGTCCGTTGAGTTTGGCTGACGTTGTCGCCCCGTCAGAACTGCCAGCTGCGCGTCATTAGTCGCCACGGAATAGTGAACAGCTGACCAACGACAGACGAGTCACCCTAGCCAGCTGACGCAGCAGTCTTAGTCAGCTGACTGACGCTGTGGGGTGACCCACGCGAACCAGACGATCCTGAGATGTCACACGGTCGAACGCAGCCGAATGAGAGAACAAAAACGTAAGGATACCGAATGGCTTATATGAAAAGTCCAGCGTGATGTTCCTGTGTGCGAACACTCAGGCTGTAACTTTGGAGGTTTAAGCAATGTTCGCTGTCAGTGGCACACTTGAGACATTGCCTGCCGCTGCTGCAGATGATGGTGCAGCGGGCGCTGTCGGCCAAGTCGCTTTCGCACGCCCAGGGTGCCACCCTGATGGCCGGCTACATCAAGATACTGCCCGTCTTCATCATGGTGCTGCCCGGCATGATCAGCAGGGTGCTCTTCCCCGACGAGGTCAGCTGTCCCGGAAAGACTGGTGGGAGGCGGGCCACATCGAGCCAGCAGTCTCGAGCGCGACTGGCCAGCGTGGGTGACGGGCCTGGGCGGGGGGTGGGGTCACGGGTCAGCCATATCAAGCTGGGAGTCATGGGTCAGGTCAACGGCATCAAGCTGGGAGTCATGAGTCAGTTCAGTGATATTAAGTTTGGCCAGTGGGGCATGGGTTACGGATGGGTCAGCAGTCTCGAGACTCGAGTAGGGTTAGCCGGGTATGGGTCATAAATTAGATTGCCTGATTACCCGATTACCTGATTCAGGCACAACCAGCGGCGCGTAGGTTGTGAGTGAGTCGAATTTTGCGGACCACACCCCAGGAACTGGAACTGGTACATCTAGAACTGGTACATGGGAACGCCGTCTGATTTCGAAACCAAAACAGCCATGCGCACGAACAAAAGCCAACTAACGTTTGTAAGAAAACGCCGAGAGCCAGAACTGCACTGTGGCTATTTCAGAGAAATGATCGCCTGCACACCAAGAACTGATATGTAGGTCGACGGTCGCTAAGTTTTTGTCAAGATAACACAAAGTTGTCTGTGCCGGGGGTCGCTTTCCCGGGCTTCTGCTGAAGTGACGGCCACAAATACGCATTGCCTGTCCCGACCCGGAGTGTGGGGCAGAACACTGAGCAGCGCGGACGGGTACCCTCAGGTCGGCTGTGTGGTACCCTCAGGTCGGCTGTGTGGTACCCTCAGGTCGGCTGTGTGGTACCCTCAGGTCGGCTGTGTGGTACCCTCAGGTAGGCTGTGTGGTAGCCTCAGGTCGGCTGTGTGGCACCCTCAGGTCGGCTGTGTGGTACCCTCAGGTCGGCTGTGTGGCCCCTCAGGTCGGCGTGTGGTACCCTCAGGTCGGCTGTGTGGTACCCTCAGGTGGGCTGTGTGGTACCCCCAGGTTGGCTGTGTGGTACCCTCAGGTCGGCTGTGTGGTACCCTCAGGTCGGCGTGTGGTACCCTCAGGTCGGCTGTGTGGTACCCTCAGGGGGCTGTGTGGTACCCTCAGGTGGGCTGTGTGGTACCCTCAGTGGGCTGTGTGGTACCCCAGGTCGGCTGTGTGGTACCCTCAGGTGGGCTGTGTGGTACCCCAGGTTGGCTGTGTGGTACCCTCAGGTCGGCTGTGTGGCACCCTCAGGTCGGCGTGTGGTACCCTCAGGTCGGCGTGTGGTACCCTCAGGTCGGCTGTGTGGTACCCTCAGGTGGGCTGTGTGGTACCCTCAGGTGGGCTGTGTGGTACCCTCAGGTGGGCTGTGTGGTACCCCCAGGTTGGCTGTGTGGTACCCTCAGGTGGGCTGTGTGGTACCCTCAGGTCGGCGTGTGGTACCCTCAGGTCGGCGTGTGGTACCCTCAGGTCGGCTGTGTGGTACCCTCAGGTGGGCTGTGTGGTACCCCCAGGTTGGCTGTGTGGTACCCTCAGGTCGGCTGTGTGGCACCCTCAGGTCGGCGTGTGGTACCCTCAGGTCGGCTGTGTGGTACCCTCAGGTGGGCTGTGTGGTACCCCCAGGTTGGCTGTGTGGTACCCTCAGGTCGGCTGTGTGGCACCCTCAGGTCGGCTGTGTGGTACCCTCAGGTGGGCTGTGTGGTACCCTCAGGTGGGCTGTGTGGTACCCTCAGGTGGGCTGTGTGGTACCCCCAGGTTGGCTGTGTGGTACCCTCAGGTGGGCTGTGTGGTACCCTCAGGTGGGCTGTGTGGTACCCCAGGTTGGCTGTGTGGTACCCTCAGGTGGGCTGTGTGGTACCCCCAGGTCGGCTGTGTGGTACCCTCAGGTCGGCTGTGTGGTACCCTCAGGTCGGCTGTGTGGTACCCCCAGGTTGGCTGTGTGGTACCCTCAGGTCGGCGTGTGGTACCCTCAGGTCGGCTGTGTGGTACCCTCAGGTGGGCTGTGTGGTACCCCCAGGTTGGCTGTGTGGTAACCTCAGGTTGGCTGTGTGGTACCCTCAGGTCGGCTGTGTGGTGCCGGAGGAGTGCAAGAGGATCTGCGGAAACGCCGTCAGCTGCTCCAACATCGCCTACCCCAAGCTGGTGCTCAGCATCATGCCGCAGGGTGGGTTCTCTGGTCGGGAGCAGCTGCTCCTAGCTCTGTTCTGAGTTTGTTCGGCAGAAACCTTGGGAATCCGATTTTGATGCGGCTTTGCCATGCTTGCGTGCATTTTGATCCGGTAGTCGTGTTGCCATTGGTTGGCCATGTTTAAATGACATACCAGAGGCTGCCCTGCGAACAAAGGCAGACAGAATTTATCTGTTTAAATATCATCCACCATTTTTATCAGTGTATCCGTTTTTATAGTTTGGATATCCCGTGGTCGCCGTGGTTGAATCCTTTTTTTGATAGCTGATCAATAAGGTAATTTGTTGCGTATTGCGCATTATGTATGACACATGTGGCAGGATGTACCATAGAAGACTAGGCACAGTTATATCGGGTTATCCGATCGCGTCATTCCTCGCTCATCGCTTGAGTAGTGCGCGCTTACTACAATGTACCTCTGCTCCCGGCAGGCATGCGCGGCGTCATGATCTCGGTGATGCTGGCCGCCCTGATGTCCGACCTCACCTCCATCTTCAATTCGGCCTCCACCCTCTTCACCATGGACGTGTACGGTCTGTTCCGGTCCAAGACCTCTGAGCGGCACAAGATCATGGTCGGCAGGTGGGTCTGCGCTGATCTGGCTCGAAGCGCACCATGCCGGTCGCTGGTGCTGGAGGCGCAAAGCTCCCACATTGCAGCGTGGCCCGCAGTGTGTCCCTGCTATATTTAAGCTGTTTGTGTCGTGTGTGTCCCATCCATAATGGCATTTGGTTGCCTATCGCCCCTGGGCGCGTCTCTGTTTGACGCTATTGCTGTGGCGTGTCCGATTTCATGATGCACATGGACCCGACCCCTCGTGTCCCAGCTAGGCAAAGCGAAGCCCACAGCGCATGGTTTACTGCTGTCCGGCGACTAGATGACCATTCTGTCCGTGTGTCAGCAGGTGGTCAGATGGCTATTCTTTCCGTGTGTCAGCAGGTGGCCAGATGGCCATTCTATCCGTGTGTCAGCAGGTGGTCAGATGGTCATTCTGTCCGTGTGTCTGCAGTTCTGCACCAAATGTGGTCACCTTTTCTGGGGTTCGGCTGATAAATGAAGGCGCCGCTCGTATCGGATGACTGCTTTGTTTACGTTGCGCGTAATCAAGACGGCTGCTCATCCCCGCAGATACAGACCATCCTAAGCGACTGTGCTACGTATTGCTGGAATGGCCTGCGTCTTGCTTTGCCACAGACGCCTTCCGATTACCACTGATGGCGCGTGTGGCCTGGGGGCGTATCGCTGGCGTCGGGTGCCGCCAAATTCCAGAGAATCCGCGTCATGGGCTGGCCGTGATGTACATTGCTAGTCTAAAACATTTAAAATCATCGGCCCGTGACGTCTCGCTGACCAGGTAGCGGATCTCACGGGCCGCAGTCCGTTCTGCTGACGTCATCAGCCCACGGTGTCGCGTGTCCCGCTGACCTGACCTCGTGCCGCAGGCTGTTCGTGTGCTTCATGGTGCTGATCAGCATTGCATGGATTCCGCTGATCGACAAGGCGCAGGGTGGACAGCTGTTCCTCTACATCCAGTCCATCTCGGCTTACCTGGCGCCGCCCATCGCCGCTGTCTACACCATGGCTGTCCTCTGGAGACGCATGAACGAAGCGGTGAGGCGTGGGCGGCCGGCTATCACTGACGTGTCGCCCGGCGCCATTTCCGTGGTGGCGACAGCAGCGCCGCGTGGTGGTCAATATATACAAATGACGATTTGCACAAATTGCAGCGAATTTCCTGCAATGGGTGTTTATTACGTATGCCTCGGCGTGTGGGAAAAAATAGTTAAGAGCTTCCCACGCATTTTTCATCATGTAACACTGTCCAACTGTAGAATTTCGGCTCGACATTGACAATGGAAACTGAAGGAGATAGGCAGCATATTCTCTTCAAAGCATAAACATTTGTCAATAATGTCAGCGCATTCATCATAGTGGAGGCACATGGTAAAGGTGGCTGGTTGATCCCGGAAGGACTTGATCACGCGAAATCAATTCATGCTCATGACGTTGATGCTCACCTAATTTCTGGCTCATCATTATGCGGGGCAATATTGTGTAATTATGTGTGCAATGCACGCAGTCCAGTGCGCCATTCCATGGGGGAGACCTTGCAATGTATATTGCGGAAATGGTAGTGGTAAAGTTACAAAATTGCGCTTTAAGTGAAGTACATTGAACCACTTAATGTTACACACTTCTGTTAGATACTCACAGTCATACCTAAATTTGTATCTGGTAGCTTCAGGAATTGAATGCCAGACGCTATGACAGACTCTTCGATTCTGCTCGCGTCGCACCGCACCGTCCGACGCACTTTGAGGCGCTGAGCATTGACCCGGACGGCCTGATGGCTCGCTGACAAGCGCTGATTTTTGATGGGCACGTTGGATGAATAAGGGCCAAACTTTGTGACTCCCCCTCGGAGTCCCGCACGGACGTGTAGCGGTCACGGCCTTTCTGTAACTTTCCATTCGGTCCACGTCAGCGGTCGGTCGGGCCGCTCGTTTCGTGTCTATCGATCGTCGCAGTATTGCGTCGTAGCTGGGCTGGCGGGGAGCGTGTTCCACTGCGAGCGCGGTGGAATCTGAGGTCATATGACGGTGGGGTCGTTCGGGGCAGGTCGCGCAGTATGAATGTTTGGCAGTGCCTGACCTGACCCACCGTCCGATCTGGCCTGGGCGGAGGGAGGTCCAAACGTGTCGATTACGTGCAAATCTGACCTAAATATGGGGCGTTTCTGTCCCCACCGTTTCCGAATGCCACGCCCGGCTGGTGCGCCTGGATCCACCGGTACCCTAGGTAGATGTGCTGGTCAGTCATATATAAAACACATCGGTATGAGACTCAAACATATGAAGTACACAGTAAACGTTTAAAAAACGCCACCATACTGGGATTGCAATCTTTCGTCAGATGACCCAAACACCATCATCCACTGAAGGATTGGGATCTGAGGTGGCGTTCTTTTGGTATGCTACGTGTCTTTTTGTACTTGTGCGTGTCTCAAGACAACAAGTTTAGTATATGGTTACAACACAACTACAACATCACGTAACTATGAACTGAAATGTAATTAACTACGTAACGGGCGACGAACCGACTCGAAGAAGGTGTAACACTGACTAGCGAACGGTATACAGATCGTTGGCGATTACCTCCAACGTGTAACCGTGTCGATCGCGCTGGCCGTCGGGGCTGCGCTGCCTCCGGGGCGATACTCGACTCCGCGGTGGTCGTCCCACGGCCGGGCCCAGGCTGTACGACTCGCCTAACATGTCGCCAGCTGTTGCGGCAATGCGTGTACTGCGGGTCCGATCACGGCTACTTCATCTATCCGACGCTGAATGATCAGGGTAACAGGACACTGTGAATGATGGATCCGACGGTGAATCGTCAGGAGACGCCACGGGACCTGGCTGACCGGCCACCTCCGCTGGCAGGGCGCCTTCTGGGGACTGATGAGCGGCTTCATCGTTGGCGTCATTCGGATGGTGCTGGATTTCGTGTACATGTTCGACGCGCCAAAGTGCTGGGAGACTGAGGACACCCGGCCGGCTGTCGTGGCCAAGGTGGGTGGAGTGACATGCGCGCTGACGGGTGGTGGGCACGGGCCCGCCCGCCCGGCGTCAGGCCAAGGTTGTCATGCGTGCCGCTGCCAAGATCACATGCGCCGGCCTCCGCTGGAGTTCGAGCCGAAGAAGCGCGGTGACGTAATACCCCGGCGAGAGAACGTCAGTCGCTGGCGAGGAGCTTCGGGGCAGTGACGGCGCTTCTCTCCGGCTATTGCGGATCAAAGTCCATCTTAGTTCACCCTGAAAGTCTCGAGGGTTTTGCAGCAACCTCTTCCGCCTGTTCATAACGAAGTTGGGCCTACCAAAGAAAAAGTTTGCGGAAGTTTTTCACATACCCTTTCAATTCATTTAGTGTTTGTTTTCTTGTTGCCGTGTTTTTATCTTAACGCTATGCTAATTCGCGATTTTTAAAAAATCTAAACCAGGTGGGGGTGGGTGAGGCACATCATTTATGACGGTGTACTAGTCCACGGCGTTGTTGCCGGCGAGAAAGTGTACAAGCGAAAATGCTTCAGTTAAGCGTTTTTTACCGTTGAAGTTTTGCTTAATTAAACGCTCGTCTCCTAAAAATGATATCTAGTAACTTCCGCAGTAGACCCACTTCCTTTAACGAACCTCACAAAATTCGACCAGGACGAAACGCAAAGCTTGTGAGAGGCTAGAGCGTTGGCACCCAACCGGCAGCTGCGTGTTCAGCGTGCTTTGCTGACTTCAGATGCACTACATGTACTTCGCGATGCTGCTGTTCTGGCTGACGGGCGTGGTGGCGGCGGCCGTGTCGCTGCTGACCGAGCCGCCGGAGCACTGGCGCGTCATCCGCACCACCTTCTTCACCCGCTTCTCGGAGGAGAGGCGCCAGGATGAGGCGGCGCCGGCCGAGCCGGCCGACACCGACAAGTTCGCTCTGGAGACAGACGAGCTGGACCGTCCAGGTGAGAGGAGGCTGCGAACCTGCGTCGGCCACAGGTGCGCATGATGAGTGCGGACGGAGCGACCATGTGTGTATATGTCTGCGTATTGCACAACTGTACGTACCACCTTTGATGCGGGTGGGATCAACCGTGCGTCGCGTGCAAATGGCTGTTGAGTACCATGCCTCAAAACGGCCCGTGTTTTCGGTAGCCGTCTGAACTCTCGGCTCGAGGTTTCAGGTCGAGGCGATTCATTTAGTTGCGATGAACCGTCCCGACGGCCCATCCTAATTCGCGGTGCTGCGCTATTGACTGTGGCAGGCCTGCGGCAAACCCCGCAGACTTCTCCAGCCTGAGCCCACACCCGGCCGGCTGCGGCGCGATGACACGCCGGCCGCCCCCAGAGCCGGCCGTCTGGCAGCGGGCCTACAACTGGATATGCGGCTACGAGAGCGCCGCGGCCGAGAAGGCGCACGCGGCAGAGCTGCAGCGCCACCTGCTGGAGGTCAGCAGCATCCGGCAGCCGCGCCGCCAGCGCGTTCTGCTCAACAGCCTGCTGGTGGTGGTGCTGGCCACGGGTGTGGCGCTGCTAGCCTTCTTCACCGTCAACCCGTTCCCGGAGGCCGTGTACCGCGAGGTGCAGACCAACAAGCTGCGCTCCATGGGCTACCCATCCCCATGGCCGGAGGAACTTTAGCCGGACCGCCGGCCGCGCGGAGCCGCGGATGCCCGGCAGGCCCGACGACGTCATCCGCCGTCACGTCCGGTGCGGGAGTGCCCCCTGGCAGCCGAGTCGGTGCCGCCCGCGCTCCGTCGCGTCGAAGGTCGCTGAGCTCCTCCGCGGGAGCCGCGCCGCGCCAGCGCTGTCCCCCTCGGCTCCGATAGGCGGGCCCACGCCACTTGCTGTCGCATGGCGACTGCCTTACTGCAGTGTTGTTTGCCGGTCATTGTGCTAGGCTGCGCGCTCGTTACCCATTGCCTCTGTCGCGCGTGAAGCAATCGTTAGACTGATCATCGATCAGCTAATGCTGTGTACTGGGATGTAACTAGATCCCAAAGGCGCACCGTGTTATTTGGATTGGTCCAATGGTAGGGGGTTGTAACCCTGAATTCATGACTTCTTTGGGTCCGATTCCATGATCCAACTGACAGTTCCATTTATTTTGATTTCTATCCACACATCTGGTAGTATAGCTGCTGTGTCGCACTGAAGCTGTCCCACAGTTGTGCCATGTCTGACTAGCGGAATCCCGTGGAACACGTCTGAGCAATGTGCGCGCTCCCCGAGGACTGAGTACTCGCACTGTGTCACACCTAATGTCGCCAATGTGTGACGAACATCCCTGACAGAGGCGGATCCAGGATTTTCATTCAGGAGTAAGGAAGGGGTCGCCCTGTAGCAGGCATTCGGTTGACCTGGCCACGCCAAAATGGAGCAAACTTCGTCTGCAAAAAAATTATAAGAAGGAATGAAAAAATTAAATTGAGAAAAAAACTTGCAAAGTCGCGAATTTCGGCTCCCAGACACACTGCTGTTTTGGAGCGTTGTTTTACTCACGCGGCACACGTTTGACGTTCAATATGATGCCCTCGGCTCACCGCTTACGTGGCAAGTGTCACGTGCCCTCGACACAGGGACACCAATTTTTATCACCCATGGGACGGGGGGGGGGGGGAGTGGCGGCGGTGGCCACCCTGCAGATCCGTCCCGGGCCAATGGCTTTGCGTGTAATAGCATGTAGAATCGGCAGCGATAGTGGAGCCCTGCCGGTTATCTGGCTGGATAGTTGGTGCCCCTAGCTACGCGCCAGTCATTGTTGACGCGGATCAACGTTTATCCGGCAGGGAGCTTCTGCCGCCATACATGAAATCCCTTCTGTGGCGGATGTCGAAAATACTATGGACGAATATACCTTAGTTTTACAGGCATCAGAACCCTTTTCGGGGAGTCCTGAGAGTGACGTAGCTCGTAGAGTCCTCTGGAACCACGTTTTGTATGCACTGGGTGGAGCATTGCTTGCAGCGGTCCCACGACGCCTTCAGCTGGGCTTTTGCAAAGTACATGAGGTCATGCCGACGCGAGCAAGAGTGCTTTACACGTCTTGACAACGGAGCAGAGGGGCAGAAGCGATGTATGAATTTGGGGGAGGGGGGCTGAGGACCAGCGCTCTTTCGACAAGGGAGCTTTGAAACAGTAAAACCCTATGACGATGTTATGGAAACGGCGACTACATCTGGACCAAGGACCTGGAGTTAAGTGCTGGCATTCCCCTGCTCATGCTCACGTGGGACTCCAATACGCCCAGCATACGAAACGAAGTGCGCTTGTGCATTGCCCACCAACTTATGTACTATAATGCCCGGGCCGATAGTTGGTTAGATAGATAGATAGCCGATATGGTTGCCGATAGTCCGGAAAGCATCCTAGCCAAGGCAGCCGTCGCATCACCGATCGTGTGAAGCGAGTGCTGCAGCGAACATCCAATATAAATGACGCCGCGCACGCTAGCTCAAAAGCGACTTTACTGAAATGTGGTCATTGTGAGCCGCACCTGGGCGACCGGTCGCCCCGAGATTGTCGTGAAAGTGAGCTTTAAGATGACTGTCGAGAGTCACGAATGTCACTGTACACACAACAAATGGTAGGCAATGTGTATGGGGGCATGTCCAGTGCCCATTTTCTCAGAGCATCCTTGTTCAGTGGGAAAACCCAAGAGCATGGGGTCTGCACATGGGTGTAAAACATAGTGTGAAAGGGAGATATGACACATTGAAAAACCGAGTACCTTATGACTGACCTTGCACATAATGCTCAAATATGAGAGGCACATCACCTCACAGTCAACATGCATTGCAAGAGGTGGCTGAAAATGACAGTTTTCCTTTGTATTAAGCATGAAAGCAGTGCATACACTCACACAGTCAAAGTGCACACTTTGGTTGGGAGACCTATCAAGTTGTCACACAGTCCAGTGTTATCAGAATTAAGTTTCCAAGTGCTCAAACTGCATGGCACCTGCTGTCCAATCAAGAAAACAAAGGCAGACATGCTACAAAGACAACTGCAGTTCATTCCCTACCCACCATATGCCCACTCTGTCTACATAAGCAAAATATGAAGCACATTCAGGCCAGTTTGCAACAACATAACACAACATGCACTTCTTATAAACAATGACACTCAAGTGTCAGAACCCAGTTCAATTCTGCCATATTGACCTTGAAAGTATCTTCCTGACCATACATGTCATGCTTATTCTCCTGACCAAAATTCCCAAGCATTTTCAGGCCATTGATCTTTTATAATAATTGTCCAGAAATGTCACAAGTTGCTGTTTCAACTGAGATCCAACATGGGTTTACAAAAATATGTTACTCTCCAAATAAAGCAATCACATTTCTTTCCCATCATACCCAATTGCAGCAAATCTCATAATTTGCTCTTCTATGTGAGTTTTAAGAGCAAAAGATTGTTAGCATAACATTGAGTCATTCAACATACTTGAAGCACCCTTAAATTAAAGTTGATGCAGTCTAATACCACTATCCTATTAGCAGTGGCAGCCAGTCCCAGCATCTGATGGCATAGTACATGCCCTGCTGCATCAACACATCTTGGTGAAAGCATATGCATACATTTATTTCCATCACCCACTATGACTACTTCCTTTTCTTCAAGGCTTCAAACCTCTTTGTCAAGTCATCAAAGTTGGCTTCTTCATCTGGGTTTCCTGTTGGTGCTGAGTTGGTACCAGAAGCTGGTGGCCCAAATGTGTTGAATTCAGCAGGGACATCAGGCAGGTTCAGTGCATTATCTACCTTTGACCTTGGTGCTGGGGTTGGGTAGTTGAAGTTGGTATTCAGTGGCTTTTCTGGAGAATTGAAGTTCACATTATATGGATTGTACGTGGGACCTGGGGCTGGGTAGGCTGGTCCGGCACTACCTGGAGCCTTAAATGTTGATGGGTCAACAAATCCCAGAGGAGGTGCCACTGCATCTGATGGAACTGTGGGCAGGACAATGCCTGAAGCCCCCATGGGAGGTTCTGAAAACCCACCTCCTCCTCCTCCTCCTCCTCCACCACTGCTCTTGGGTCCACCTCCAGCACCACTGTCCTCAGTGCCACCGAAGTTGATGAGGTTTTCACCAGTAGCATGCATTTCATCCTCTGCCATCACTTGTGGGTCCGGCCCATATGCCACGTTATAGTTTCTTGCAATTTCGCACAGGTATCTCTCCACCAAAATCTTGGGTGGGGCTTGGACCGACAGTTTGTGCATCAGTTTTGGTGACACAGCTCCAATGCTGTTCTCCCTGCATGCTTGCACATACTCCTGTCCATACTTGGTACCAAGCTGGCTTGCAATGACTTGCAACTCAGCAATATCAGCCTGCAGACGTGGAGTAACCCACAAGATACTCGCAATGGGCTCTGCCAGCCCCTCATCCAATGTCTTCATTTGCTGAATTAAACCCATCCTTGCAAGCAGCAGATCACAGTAGCACTCCACAATTTCCATGGCTTCCACCAGGTAATCTTCACGGATGATGTGTTCCACTCGAATTTTCGCCCTTTCCACTTTGTCCGCTGCAATGTAGTCAGCTATTTCCTTCCTTGCCTTCTGTGCCAGCTCCGTTTTTTTCTTTTCCAGTAGTTTCAGCCTGCTGACAGCCAGTCGCAGGTTGGTCTTAAGCTTGTTGTAATTTGGGCCAGAGCTAAACATATCTAGGATAATGAGGTGCGGATCGTATCACCCACTCCACAGCCTGACCGAGCGGAAATGTCTGAACAGTAGGTAACAGCGGTTGTGTCCCGAAGAACCGCACAATCAGCGCAACGGCCCAACTCAATGCCCAAGGCCCTGGAACAGACTCAACACCATACCGTAACACCACCCCATAGTACCACCGTAAAGCGCGTCACAGATGAGTCATATCTAAGGCTATGTCATATCAAGGTTACTTCAGTTTAATATACTGCAATAATGTTTGTTGGATGTCGAATCGTAAAAGATGGACGATATAATATCGTCAACGTACCAGTCGAGATTTAAACTCCAGATATAGCCAATATAGAACAAATGTTATCATCAGAGTTCTCACACATTGCAAAGCAGCCCTCATGGGCATGGAAACAGAAGGAGACGGCCCGCACTTCGAATGCTTAACGTTGAACTTAGGCGATGCATGCACAACATTTATTCGACCTTGGCACTGCCCGCCCCCTTCCCTTTCTCCGGGCTCCCTGACACACTTCTTCATTTTAAGCATTTTAAGCATATATATATATATATATATATATATATATATATACATATATCCGTTCCGAGTTAAAGTATTTCAAGCATGTCATAAGCGCAGGAACAGGAAGAAGGGACGGTGGGCAGGAGGGTCCATGCACTTCAAATTTTTTACTAAAGGGGGTAAAGGAATCTTGACAGGAAGCAGGAGCGTCACGATCGACACTTCGAACTACTGGTGCACGAGCTCGGGGCTCCCGACGTTCAGCAACGCGCTGACCGGACGCGCAGTCGCGATGGGTCCCGAACGGCAAGCAACAAAACTATGCACCATCTGCCTCACGGCTGCTGCATGCAGTTGTAAGGAATATTTTCCCGCAGGCCGCTGGGTGGCCCAAGCGACAAGACTGACTCAGTCTGGGGTGCTCAACATGGCCGGACGCTGCGATCAGGCCCGTCCGGGAAGCCTGAGTGACGGCTACTCAGTCTCAGAGTATTTCGATCAATTGTGCACAAAAGGCGTCATCTACAAATGACAAACAGGGGCATAAGGAGACATAAATGGATGAACACACTGATGGAGAGTGCGAATGCATCATGTTGAAGCGAAAAAATCAAAACGTAACATGACAGTGGAAGCGAGAGGCATGAAATAGGCAGTTGGTTTCTAAGGAGCATGGCGATTCGACAAAACTGCAAGACTCATTTACGCTTCATGTCTGTGATATGTGCGCTATAATAAGATGCTTTGTGACTTGTGCTTTCGTTTCGTTTAACACGCGCCGGGGTGGCCGGTTGAATACCCTTTGCTCGGGTGGGGGTCAATGCTGAGAAAGCTAGAGGCACCAAATTCAAGAGGTGTGTTATCCTGCACGTGAACTCGCTTGTGGCCAGATTTGGGCTTCTAGATCATAACCTTTGGGTTAAATGAGGTCAGACAAGTTCAAACTCCAGATTGGTGTCCACGGTGCCCAAAAACCTAAATACCACGGGTGTCGTTGTCCACGGATTCTAGATGCCATGAGTGTTTGGCGTCGATAAGTTGTACAGACCGCAGCACGCTGTGTTGTTTTGCTGCGACGTCTTACAGGAAAATGAAAACAAAGCGTGATAAGAGCTGTTAGCCGTTTACATTTGGAGGAACCCTTGAAATGTTCCTGAATGTTTGGTGAAACCTCACATGAAACTTCACGTGACTGTTCGATAAAACAGTTACAAAAACCTGACGACCGACACCAGCCCACTAAACCAATAGCGGCAATCGTCTTAGCTAGCCACCAACACAGCCCGCGTCAAGCATGCTTAATGGAAATGACGCACCTGCACCCCGCCCTACGGCCATCAACAGGGATTTCCATGGCAGACACTATTAGTCGCGCAATTACGCTCTTCGTTCCCGAAGCCGTGCACATCCAGCAGCGTCTGATGCCTCATAACGTCGACCCCATGTCGACTACTGAAGCCGGGCCGGGCCATCAAATGTCAGGAAGAGGGCATCTTGCACCGACTGGGGACACCCTGTGACGGCGCGGGTCTCTACTTCGGTCATAGACCAACAACGCTGAACAATCGATTCCGGGTTGGTCTGAGCCCTGGGAGCTCATTCCCAAACAGGAACAAGGTCGGAACGCGCATTTTGCATCGGTCGGGACCCTTAAAGCAATAAATGCTCTTTTGTGGGTCAAAGACCCACAGCGCCTGATAGAGGGTCCAATGTTTGTAAGGGGCTCGAGTCAGGGCAACATCTGTTAGGTAGAGACAGGGACGGGACCCCAAAAGCCGGGGGCCTGTTGTGTTGGTCGAGGCCCTCTGGCAACGAAAATGCTGATGGAAGCTAACGATGTGAGTCCACAACGCAATAATGGAAGGCCCTTTGTCCGGCAGGCCCCTGATACCGAACGGAGGGCTCTCCTTCCCATTTCAGCAAAGAGCCCGTTATGCCGAACTGTAGTCTCTGCCAATTATTGGACATCTGCGACTAATAGGGATCTTTTGCAGTCATGAGTGCCCTGCGCCTATTTGGTAGCAAATGGCCGGGTCAGGAGGCCTCCGGCGTCCGGTAAACACCAATGTATGATGTTTCCCTCTTAGGTTTTCTGTACCAGCCAGGACATCCCGCCCTGCGTCACCGGCATGACAGCCAGAGGGTACCACACGTTGCAACCGAATAGCCCCGAAGCCTCTGATCGGGAAATAGAATGTGCCTCCTACTGGTCTGCCCGCTGGGTCCCTTGCCCGGAAAATGAAAGCGGTTTCCTTAAAATTTCAATGGGGCGGATCACAATGAGGTCAAAAATGAAAAAGCCAGCAGAGGCGAGGCGTCTGCTACTTGGCCATGCTTGGTCAGGATGATCATGTGAAATACATTACGCGAAGCAGTTTTGGGCCTACGTGCTCGCAATCTTAGAAACAAGAACAGCAATGGCCGGGGGTGGCAGTTTCCATGAGACCGAGCAGTGTTAACCACCCGGCTTACATCGGGCAGAGGGCGCCTGTCATATTTTACCGTGCAGAAATCCAATGTTTTGGCGATTCTAAGCTTCGTCCTGACCTACCTGGCGATTATGATGCAGATGGTCAACTAGCCGCGATAAATAGATCGACCATCTTGGCATGCCCACAGTTACGGACCTCGGACGCCCTCAGATATCTCGAACACGCCAGGACAACGTTTGACGGCAAATATTTAGGTGTTACTTAACAAGCGCCCGGGTGTCCGGTTGGACGCCCTTCGCTCGGGTGGAGGTCAAGTTGACTGCCCTGAGATCTCAGGATTTTACAGAGCTAGAGACGCTAAGTTCACAGGGTGTGTTGACTTGTACATGAACTCACTTAGGTCAACGTTTAGTGCTCCTAGGTCATGACCTTTGGGTAAAATAAGGTCAAACTTGTCAAGTTCCAGGTTGGTCTAAAAGGGCCCTGGAACCTAGACAACTGTTCTAAGCAAAAGGTCACATGCTCATCTAAGGTCAGTGACCTCGTTTGACCTTTTGAAGGTCATGGTTATCAAAATAATACAACACCGCTTTGAGTTTTGCGTTTGGATAAGCGACAAATATTACTCTAGGCATTATGTTCCTAAAACAAAATTTCGACCTGGTCATCCCAGGTCATTGACCTATACTGGCCTTAAAGAAGTCTATGGGAGGTGTATAATGCGATTCCTGCTGTCAATGAATTCGAAATGAGCGCCAGAAATTATCACATACAGCAAGCCCTAGAGCAATAAAAAGGTTTATTTTGACCTTGGCCTGATCTTCATACCTGGCCTAAGGTCAATGCAATCTGTTCATTCAAGTGTTGTGTTGCCTAAGAAAGCATCTCGGAGATGTGTGGCTTCGTCTAACGCCCCGTCGTTGAATCAGATTGAAGGATTCCCTAGAAATTGCCTTCGCTAAGACCATGCCCTTACTTTGACCTGCCATAGGACAGCGTCCGTACAAAGCAAATTTCAGTTTTTGATGCCAGACGAACCGCTACTCAATTGTCTACAGCTATGCAAAACTTGGTGCGGCTACGCCGCGCCGTTCGGAAACCATTTTGCAAAAACCTTCTTTGGGGGGGTCAATTTGACCCCCACTGCCTGGCGGGTTTAAAAGGGAATGTTTCACATGTGCTTAGGATTTTGAACTATAATAACCATCTTGAAGATCACCCGGTGCAGTTCACAGCCCTGCCGTTCTTAAGATCTATAGCCCTCTGTTTCATGTGCTACGCGCCCGCGAAAATGTGCAAACAATTTTATGCGGATTATATCAAGGTCATTCAGCCATGCATTACGCCATAGAAACGCCATTCAAATTCTGCCATCCAATTGGCCATGCGGCGTTTAAGGCCAAGACAAATATAATTGTCGAGTCCTTCGCATCTGGCCTCCGTGAGCACAAATTCCAGATATAACGAACATCAATGGGCTTGGAACCAATGTTAAGCATGTTGTACAGTGTTCAAGCACAAATCAGGTTACGTGCTAAATAATGTAAAAAGTTGGACGTGTTTGCTAGTTACCATGGAAATAAGATTAATAATCAAACTGCATAAGATTAGCGCCAGAGCCAAGTGTGTAAATACAAATGAACATCTTAAACTCACGGATAGATATGCATGAACGCCTAGAGAAAGGTCTAAAACACGAGCACACGACGATATGTGGTTCAAAAAGCACCTCCAGCACCACCACGACTCCTCGGCCACCTCTCGGGAGGTTGAAGCGCTGCAAGTGTGTGCTTGGTTGTCAAATTCTCACGGCTTTTTCGGCAGCACCATAACGTCATACCAACTGTCTATGACACAATCAAACAATGAGATATTCAAAAACATATTTACTTTATCGATAAATTTACCTTCAAATATATTGCCCATTTCCACTTAACGGTATACTTATAGCTATACGTGAGCTGATAACATTATATCTAATACTTGGTTTAATATTTTCAAATGTTGAACATTTCCTTTTATAAAGAGTTCTGGTGGTCGTATAATTCGCATCACTCTAGTCACTTGTATGACATAGACATAACTTACATCATCACAATTGTAGCCTATAGGCACTTCAATTAACACTTTTTCATGACGGATATGTTTTATCTAAGATTGCCATGCATTACCAACGTCATTTGCGCATCAGTTTGTTTGTTAACACGCTCCCGGGTGGCCGG